GAAGCAAGGGATTATTTCACCTGTGACAGAATCAACTGTTGCTTGGGGATGACTGCAGTGATAAAACACAAAGGATACATCAGAATTTGTATTAATCTTACAACTGAACAAAGCAGTTGGACGTTAAATTCAATATAATCTAAGGACAAGAGCTTAGCAAAATTGGGAAAGAGTTCAATTTTTATGAAGATAGATGCAAATAGTATTTTTCAGCAATACCCCTTGAGGAAGAGTCTAAGTTGCTCACAACAATTATTGCATCATTTTGGAAGGGTTTTGTTTCCCAACAGATTACCCTTTAGCAATATATCAGCACCAGAAATCTTCCAAAGGACACTCACAAGTATCCTCAAAAGACTGGATGGAGTTATTTGTCACGTGGATGATGTCCTTATCGATGGATCCCCTCGGACAGAGCATAACATTAGAGTGCAAGCTATGCAACAGCTTAATTCAAACATACCCTCAAATCAAATGAAATCAAGAAAATGCTGGAGTTGAGACTGCTATATGCTGCCATCAAATGTTGGAGATATGGAATTACACTAGTAGAGGTGTTAGAAAGCTGAATTGCCCAAATCTTTCAATTTAGGTCAGCAACCCTGTTTCAAACATAGTTCAGACAAAATATTGCCCATTTACCTTTAGACAAGTTTTCCAGCTGAATATCAGCGTTCCCAGTGGGAAGCAGCACAGACCTGCGCAGCAATCTCTGTCGGCAGCAGTGAAATGAACCATGCTGTAACTATGACACATTTTATGGCTGTAGCTGCTGGATTCCATAGTTTAATGGCTCAAAACCAATTTGACAGCTACTGAGAGAAAATAAGTGTGTGAGGTAAGTAAGGAGTTAAGGCAACAGGTGAGGTGGCAGGGGCCAGATGAATGAAGGCGTACAGCGGCATGTGGGTGAAGGGCAGGGTGGCAGCCAGGTGTGCGATGGGCTCCCAGGTGGGTAAAGGGATTGGGTAGCAGGTGGATGAGGTAAGATAGCAGTTGTGTTAGGATTGGTTGGAGGGTGGGTTTTGTCAAGTCCAGGGGATTCTGGGTAGAAGGAGGTGTGAGTGGGTGAGTGGGTGGTTGTATCCATTGTGTTCCGGGTCAGTGAGTGTTTTGGGGTTTCGACTGCCCATATGGAGTCAAATGTTAGGTTGAGGGCTCAGTCTGGGGAGGGATTTTGGGTGTCTACGGGTAGTTGGGGGGTATTCGGGATAGGGTCAGTGTTTCAGGTTTGGAGAAGATCAGTTTATAGTCAGCTACCAGTTAGAGAAGCATTTAGTTCCTCAAAATGTTCCTGGCTAACCATTAAGGTAAGTTATGTCAGGACCCTCTGATGTTTCCAAGTCTCTTTCCAACTTGGGGACATTTTCAGAGACTTCTAGGCACCAATAGCCAAAAGCTGAGGTAAGCTCTATTACACAGCTGCGACTAGGCAGTCTTTAAAGTAAATGGATCAAAATAGAATGGCAAAGTTTCAATAACATTGGATCAGCCCAAAACAGAAACTGCAGAAGAGAACTGAATCATTAGCAATGATTCAGATTTTAGCTGTGAAACTTGAAAAGGCCTGAAAACAGGTATCTGGATTAGTATCTGGAATTACCTTAAACCCATTGCTTCTGATACATAAAGCATGAAAACTTCATGACAGCATTCATCCTGCCACTACAGCCACTCTGTCAGTGCCTTCACCGTTTTTTTGTTAGCTAGCTAATCCAGTCTACTGTCACACTTGTTGGGATTGTATAGTCCAAGATGGGCCTTCTCCGTGAAATGCTACACAGGATCATCCTACAAAACAATCTGCAGTCTCCCTCAATGAAGTTCAGTAACCTTCACAAAGCTGTGTACTCCCTCTGCCAGGTTTTCTTTCTGCAAAGGTGACTGAAATGTATTCAGCTATCTCAAATATAGAACTGAATTCTATTTTGAATACAATCTAAAAAACTGGAAGATATAAAAGATATTGTCTGCACCAGCCTGGAAGGAGCTTAACACATAAATGCTCATGGCCACAGTTGGTCTTTATAGCACTGGCAATGTTGTACCTCCTCTGCTGTATAGCTCCAGTTGTTCTAACAGCAGTTGGCAGATTTCAGTGAGGGAATCCCTAGTGAAGCAGAGGCATCTAACCAATTGTTCTCCATTGAGGTTCAATTCGAAGACTTGATTACTGAACACTTTTGGTGGATATTATCTCCCGCTGAGAGCCCTCCTTCATCTCCTCCTCCCTCTTTCCTCTTCCACTAACTTGTCTTGCTGTGTAATACCTCTGTTCATTCTCTCTGCCCTGGCATAGTCAAGAGGGATACAAACATCTGCATCTATATCTTGGAGCAAGTGATTTGTGCAAGACCTGACAATACTAAATTAATGTCACTAAAATACATCATCTCAGAAATTAATCTCAACTATAAATTTATAATCAGCAATTAATGTTGAATTTCTATAATGGAACTTAACTACCTTTGTAATGGTTAAACTAATTCATTACTTATCCTTATCAACTAATGATTTTCATCTCAATATTAATGTTTAACTGCTACAAAAATTATTAAACAAATGTCTGTTCGTGATCTCATTGCCTGCTTTCTTTAATAATTGACAAACGAAGACGAATGCTTTGCTGAGTAGTTTGTGTAAATGCTCACAGGAGGTTGGCAGTCTAAATGCATCTGCAGTACTTTGTTTTTATCTAACATAAATTGAACCAGTTGGTGTGAAGCAATTAGACAATCTTGATGAATTGTCCTAGGTTGAGGACTGCTGAAGATACATAGTAGGCTTCTGATTGACTTCCCACCAACAAGGAGGAGAGTGCAACTGCAAAGTGCAAATTTCCAGTAGTGATGCAGGAGGAATACCAGAAGAATTACATTAGCATTTAAAAAGTACAAAAAGTAATCAGAATATAAAAGCAAAAAAAAATGCAAATGCTAGAAATACGAGGTAAGGAACAAAAATGCTGGAAACATTGTTCTGACAAAAGGTCATCTTGACCTGAAAATCTAACTCTTATTTTCCATAGATGCTGCCTGACCTGTCGAGTATATATTTTCAGCACTTTTTTGTTTTCACTTAGAAATATCAGATCAAAGAAATATCAGCCAATAAAGATCTGCAGAAACTAAGCCTACATGTAATCTAACCGCTACTAATTGGCCCTCCCTTCATTAGGAGACCTGATGGTCATCATTGACAATTCATGAAACCTATCAATCCATTTTTTATATGGTCATTCCAATAGTGATGATAACTGGGTCAAAAAAATTGAACTACTAACCTGGGTTACCCTTTTTACTTTACGTATATGTGTCAGACAGGGGAGAATGCTGGATCCAATGGATGTTGATGAAACAAATACAGGTTGATGTTACAATATATCTTACTGGTAGATTTTGTTGCATTTCTATCTTTACCAGGCACAATTTTAGCAAGAACACAAAAGACAAAACTGTCCAAATATGTAAAATGAAAATTACTACCCTGCCACACAAACTTAGAGTCAAATTAAAAGATTCTGAAGTATTACCCCATAATATAAGCGAATATCGAAACTGTAAAAATGATATCCTTACTTATAGAAGACAATAATAACCTACAACATAAAATAATGTTTTGTAGCAGCACTAATTTATTTTCAAAAGTCATTTGATATTATGGGTGCTATTCTGATTATTAAGTATTGAAAACCCATTATAGGACTCTCAGACATTTTTTCATTAATATTGCCAACGTGTTATTCTGTCTGCTAGTTAGTTGTTTCCGTGCTCCTTCTAAGGTGATGTTTGCATATCGATGGCAAAGTCTGAAATATATATCAATGGTTCAGATTTTATTGAAAATTAAAGGTGTCTGAATGTTAAATATTTATAAATGTGCAAATTGGCCACAAACTTACTGAGGAGGCATTAACTTGTGAATTGTGATTTGCTTCCAGTTGGTGACTATTTTCACTTCTTTGGGAGAACAGCCTTTAAAGCACAATGATGTTTGTGAAGTTGCTTTATTTCATCATTAATTGCCCACTAACCTCACCGCAAGAGGTAAGCCTAGTAATCAACAAAGTACAATTTTCATAAACAATAATTGTTAATGACTGTCAATCTGGCAAAGAAGGTGAACAATTGTAAGCATATAGTCCTGTTGCTTCAGGTTGTGATTTGCGTTACGAGATTATAGAAATGCCAAACTTTAAATTATCATTTCTTTTTGAAGACCACAAGATGGAGGAGCAGAAATATTCCCTTCAGGGGTCTGCTCTGACATTCAATGAGATCATGGCTGATCTGAAAATCCTCAACTCCACTTCCCTGCCCTTTCCCCATTTTCCTTGATTCCTTTACTGATTAGAAATTTGTCTATCTCCGTTTTGAACACACTTAATGGCCCAGCCATTTGTGGTTAAAAAACACTCCACAGATTCATACCCTCTGGAAGAAGAAATTCCTCCTCAACTCTGTCTGAAATGGGTGATCTCTTATTTTGAGATTACACTCTCTGGTGGTAGACTGTTCCACAAGGGGAAACAACCTTTCCAGATCTACCTTGTCAAGCTATTTAAGAACCTTGTCTGTTTCAATAAGATTGCCATTCATTCTTCTAAATTCCTTTGTGTACTGTCCCAACCAATTCAACTTTTTCTTATAAGACAGATACCTGCTGAACTTCTCTGGACTACTTCCAATGCCAGTACTTCTTAGATAAGGACTTATTTTCTGTCTCTCTTTCTCTAATCAAATTTTCTTGCCCCTCTTTATTCCCCTTTACCAGATTTGGCATCAAATTCACTCTTTCTAACTAATTGTGCTTTTCTATGCCTGCTCTATTTATTTCTTAAATCTCATTGGTTAAAGATGTGCAATATTTATGCTGTTGGTTTCCACGTCCTAAGATGTCCTATTAGCCTCGCTGCAATGTTTAAATCCTAAATATGCATGATCAAAAAGCAATATCTAGATCAATATCATCAAAGATTGCTCTCTCGATGAGATATTTACCGAGATTTCTGGCGCGATGGTTTTGAATGTGAAGATCTGAAACAGCTAGAAGTCTTCCTCAACCCGCATCGGCAGTCAATCAACTGATAAATGATAGGATTGTACATTGCTGCTGACTTTGCAAACATGGTTGGTACAAAAGAAACTTTAACTGGCACTGAGTCAGGAGTACCAAAGGCCGACCACACTGAAACAACAGCATATGGAATCCAAGCAATCAAGAATCCTGCGCATATTAACATCGTTACCTAGTGTGAAAAAAAGAGCATGCTCGTTAAGAGTGATAGTTGTCGACAATTGTAAACAAACATGACCTCAGTATCTACTGAGAATTAATATCAAAAATTCAAGCAAAAAATGCTGTAAGTACTCAGCAGGTTAGGCGGCAACAGTGTTGAACACAGACTGAACCAGGCTGACACAGAAATAGATCTGAACAGCAAGTTCCCAGCTAAATACCTAGCTCTGAATTCTACTGCCAAAAGATTTCTTTATAACATTTATATTGCACCATTTTTCATCGGAATTTAAAGCATTTTGACCACAGTGGGAAAATGCTGCTATGATTTTCCATCGATTAAGTCAGGAACTGTGGATTGGCAATGTTTTGCTAGAAACTCCATGTAAGTATTGCTCGAAACATGCAAGTGTTCGGGATGGTCTTTGTACATCATTAATTTGAGATAAGAGGGAATGGGGGAAATTGATCAGGACCTGCCTTTTCCAAAAAAGAAGAGGCTGCCTAACCAATGAAAGAGGAGATAGTGGAAAGACTAAATGGGTGTCCCTGTAAAAGTAAAGCATTGAGGGCTCAAATGGTTTCAGTGATGGCTGAAGAGCAGACATGATGATGTGGCAAGGCTAGTAGTTTGCCAATGTTAACATGCTTAGACCAAGGCTCAGGATGGTGGACACAGAACATGAAGGGTGTTGTAGTGAAGAAGCAATTGGATGATGCCCAGGGTGAGCTGCAACTGCAAGATACCCCTCTGATTTATATATCGGGAACTTGTGCTTTCCTCTTTCTTGGGGAAGGAGAGATTTAGAAGTGGTTTATAAATAAGTTTATAAATAACTACTGTGTGGAGCAGCATAGAATACAGAAGTAAGGAAATTATGGTGAAGCTAATATAAGGCACTGGCTTGTGCTCCATTAGGAATGTTGTGTCCACACATGGACACTTCAGTTAGGAAAAGATTTGAAGAGGTTGCAGAAAATTGTTGCAAGGAACATTCCACATTAGAGAGATTTCAGTTAGGACAGTTAATGTATGAAAATAAGGTTGTCGCCACTCAATGGTAAGATTCTGAAGTGGCCATTTAAGGGTCGAGGGTAGAATCACACAAAATAAAATTCTCAACGATGATACTCTAACGTTTCATTCTGTCTGCATTTTCCCAGTTTTCCTATCATTGCTCATATCACACCAGGGAGTAAAAAATTCAACTCTGGCAGTGGCCCCTTCCACTAAATTAAAATTCAGAAATTGGGCCTACTTCCTCATAGCTGGGAAATCCTGACCTGATTTATGGCTTTCAGGCCGTTAACTGGAAATGACTGAGGCTTCAATGTTCCCATCTGAGAAGTGGTTCCACTTCCGATGGCTACCAGTCAAACAGAAGACCAATAATTCTCCAGGAGCACTGGTAGAGGTGGCCACTGCTGGGACAGCAATGAGTACACCATGAGGATTGTTGCTGGAGATAAATTCAATGGTAAATGTGTGGGTGAGGTTGGAGTGTCACCAAGACCAGCCATGAATGCTCTGGGGAAGGTTGGTAGGAATTTAGAGAGCAGTGGGGAGAGTGGAGGGGAGTGGGACAATTGGCAGTGGCCAGAACTTTGGGAAGGGCCTTCCATTAGACTTTAGCTGCCTGACCAGAAGGGGGTTTTCCCACATGCGACCAAGCTGCCAGGATTCACCTGATGGCCTCAGTAGGTGGCATGGGTATCTTCAGCCACTGGTAAAATACCAACTGCCATGGGAGGAGCACCCCCCCCCCATAATGTGGCCATTAATCACTCCACGAGGTGGGAGTCAATGGGTGGTTGGGCGTGCAAAATTCTATAATCCAGGGCAAGACTAACAGTCACAAAGAGAACAATACAGTAATCAAGGAAACAGAACAAGGGTTTGTTAAAGGCTTTAATTAATCGTTTAATGAGGTAACTGAGGTTTCATCAGGATAATGACATTGATACCTGAACCTCTCAAATTTGTTTGATAAAATATTAGGCTTGCCAGCAAACAAACTCCATGGAATATAAGAGACAAAGGCAGGATATATGAAGTTGGTTGAGTGATTGAAAACAGAGTGTAGCAGAGAACATTTACTTTTTGTTCAAACATGTCATGACACACTTCTGAACCAGGTGGGGTGTGACCAATGCCTTCTGGCCCTGAGGTAGAGACATTACTTCTATGCCACAGGAGGCCTCCGAAGGAAGGCATACATTGGGGTTCCACAAGGATTGGTATTAGGTCCACTGATTTTCTTGCCGTATGTTAAGACATAACCTGGGTTGAACAGGGCACAATTTCAAAATTTGCAATGGTGACACAAGTTTGGAAGTGTGAGGAAAATAGTGATAGACTGCAAAAGGGCATAGACAAACTGGTTGAAGGTATTGATACATCGATGAGGTTTTATGCAGTGAAGTGTGAAATGATAAAATTTGTTAGTAAAAGCAAAGAAAAGCAACAAAATAAAGAATACAACTGGAAATGGGGTGTAAAAGACAAGAGACCTGGGCTTATATGTGCACAAATTATTGACATTGGCAGGGGAAGTTCAGCAAGTAGTTTCAAGACATATAGGTTCTTGGTTTTTATGTGTAGCAGTATAGAACGAAGAAGTAAGGAAATTCTGGTGAAGCTTTATAAGGCACTAGCTTGTGCTCCATTAGGAATGTTGTGTCCACATATGGACACTTCAGTTAGGGAAAGATTTGAAGAGGTTGCAGTTAATTGTTACAAGGACCATTCCACATTAGAGAGACTTCAGTTAGGAGATTTGATTGGAAAAGTGGGACTGTTCTTAGAAAATGCTGAAAGGACATTTAATAGAGGTGTTAAAAACCATGAGGAGTCTAGGAGAGTAAATGAAGAGAAAATGATCTCATTGGGTGATGGGTCAAGAAACAAAAGACAACAAAATCAGGTGAATGGCAAAATAATCAACATGTACCTGAGGAAATGCCTTTTTATTTGGGAAGTGATTTGGAACTGGCATGCACTGCCTAAGTGTGTATTAAAGGCAGATACAATCTTGCCTTTTAAAAGGAATTGAAACGTATGAAAATAGCTTGCTGGAAAATGAGGAAAAGGCAAGTGAATGGGATAGCTAATTTGCTCTTACAGAAGGCTGACACGGATATGATGGACCAAATGGCTTCCTCTGTGCTGCAACCATTCACCTGATACTTTATAACCAAGGATGGGAACCTGACACCTGGATTACATTTGGGTCCCAACCCCTTGCTGCATCAGTGTTAGTGACACTATGCAATGTGACTTTGATATGAAAGTGTCCTACATTGGGCAGATGTGTGTTTGATGCACAAGTAGTAGTGCTGGGCATTTTCTGGAGGCAGACGCTGATTCTCGAGGGCAAATTTCACAGGCAGGTAGCAGACGTGACTAAGTTTGTCATTGACTTAAGGAACAGAGCAGTCAGAAGAGCAGTGTTCTGGTCAAACAAGTCCCCAAATATTCCCACTGCTCAACCTTTCATTTCTTTGTCAAGAAGTTAAATGAAGAGCCACAATAAATAATGGCTCTCTGCTGTACTGCAGATGATAATGTGCCCCCAAATCATTCATTCTTTAAGTTATTTGCTGGCGTCAGAGTTGCTGACTCTTCCCACTGACATTTCCTTTGTAAATATTAGTATATTATGAAGATGTCGAGAGATTGACACTCCCTTCTAGGAGACCATTTTCAAAGCATGCACATATGTGAACATGCCCTTCTGGAAACTAAAAATATAGCCCACTAGTCTATCAAATCAATTTGTGCAGTATTTGTAACAGACATGTTAATATGAAATCTTTCTGACTGTTTTAACATCTACTTTGTGTTTTAATTGAAACAATGTGTCTAGAAAAAATAGATTTGTATGGATGAATGAGTATAATCCAAAATGATCTAACCTTACTAAAAGGTCAATCACCATCACGAGTATTTCACAAAACAAGAAGTTTCTTTCTTCTGATATTAATGAGAAATAAGGGTCTGAAATATCCCAAAACAGATTTTATATCATACAATGTCACCCCCTTTTCCAGATGTAAACAAAGAGTATCAATTTAATTGTCGTTAGTGCAGATGAAAATTAAATCTCTGCTGCTCCATTTCATTCTTAAATAACATTGACTATGTCAGAGAAATGGAAATAGCAGTAAACCAGAAAGGACTGTTGAAGCAACAATCACATTTTTTATAAAATCACGTAAAATCTATTCATTTATGGACAAGTGATTTAATCTTCTGAAGAAAAATATTAAAAGATCTAGAAGGACTTTGTTGTGCTGCGCATTACTAATCACATTGGGTGGCTCCCTGGCACTAATTTACTGAGCTGGAAGCCATAGGTGCATGGATTGGTTGGATCACGTGCTGTTTACATGCTGTGTGACTTTATGATTCTAAATGGAAGATTAGTAAAATGTCATTAAATTCCAGAATTTGAGGAAGCATTGGTCACAGTATTTGTAAGAATTGATCCTAGAATTTCATTATGCCAGAATTAAACTGACAAAATATCTATTGTAGTTCAAAACTCTTGAATTAATAAAGAGCATGCTGTTTTTCAGATTGTTATTTGATCAGAAAATGGTGTAGTTGATGTCAGTGTGCATCATAGAATCCCTACAGTATGGAAACAGGCCCTTTGGCCCAACAAGTCCACATTGACCCTCAGAGCATCCCACCCAGACCCATCCCCCTATAAACCCACCTAATCTACACATCCCTGAACACTATGGGCAACTTAGCTTGGCCAATCTACCTAACCTGCACATCTTTGGACTGGGGGAGGAAACCCACACAAGACACAGCAAGAATGTGCAAACTCCCTACAGACAGTTGCCCAAGGGTGGAATTGAACCAAGATCCTCAGTGCTGTGAGGCTGCAGTGCTAACCACTGAGCCACCATGCCACCCCTATGTAGCAGGGAAGTATTAAACCAAAATCAAGTGTTGTGGTATGGATTTAACTCATTGGCAACAAACTAAAGCCAAAACTG